CAGCATAATCTCATTCAGTGTCAAATTGCATAGACAACCTTTATTGAGTACATAACCCAGGCACAGTCTTTTTACAGAAACAGCTAGCTCCCAATTCCATATTCGTCGAAGCTATACAATCTCACTCTTGACACAGACAAATACTAATACCACCTAATAAAGACAGCAGGTGCATTGACTCCATGGCTATACTCTTCTGCCACCTTCACCATGAGAGTTGCCAAATAAATGTAGCTATGGGCACCTACCAACGAACATTTACTCTGGGAAACTCCCCATTCGATGGAGTTGGTCCCTTCAATGGCCGAGACTGATGACATTCTTGAGAATGTTCAGGAAAAGAGGACAGCTGCCAGACATTGGGGAATCTACTCCACATACCAACAATGCCTTCAGTGTAGTCAGTGGCACCGCCCTTACACTTCCTATCAACAATTTCAACAAGAACCTCAAAGGCAAACATCATATGTGCCTTACTACAAACAACAACCTACAGAGCCAAACCTCACCAATAAACCACAACTAGGTGCAATGACTGTAAGCCTAAGCATCCCGTTTGACATCCAACTGGCCGAGATTGCACTGCTACCTCCCATCTCTCCCCCTGCCCTTTGGAAGCACTTACCTGCATAGAAAGACATCACTACAGATGCCTGGGTCCTCTCCATCATAAGGAACGGGTACTGCATGAAATTCCACCAGCTTCCTCCACCGTCACACCTCAGTTGCAAACTCTGCAAGAAGAAATACAGTCGTTACTACTCAAAGACGCCATAGAACCAGTACCGTTACAACACACAGTCATAGTTTTTTTCTCGCGCTATTTCACCGTCCCCGAAAAAGATGGAGGCCTTCACCCCATCCTGAACCTCAGGGAACTAAATCAATTGATCACTACCACCAAGTTTGTCTCGTGGCAATACATATAGCCGGTCAAGATAACAATCTGGCAGATTTGCTCAGTCGCAAAGAATCTCAAGCCCATGAATGGAAGCTAGATCAATCTCTTTTTCTCTCTCTCTGCAAACGATGGGGCACACCCACCATCGACCTCTTTGTCTCCCAGGTAAACTGGAAATGCAAGCGTTACTGCTCCCACACAGGAGTAGGCAAGAACTCCCGCGGATATGTATTCATCAGCCATTGGCCCAAGTCACGCACTTACCTGTTTCCACCATTCCCGCTCCTCCACAAAGTGGTAGTCCGTCTTCAGCAGGACAGGACCAATGCTATGTGGATAGCTCTGTGGAGGCTGCTACAGCCATGGTTCCTGATTCTCCACCAGCAATTGTCTGACATTAATCACCTGCCCAGTCTACCTCACCTGTTCACACAGAACAAAAATCAAATTCTCCACCCAGATCTCCCTGCTCTACATCTCACAGCATGGAGGATCTGGCCTCACTGATGAATGTCATTCATCATGCAAAGAAACCTTCAACCAGGAAGGCCTATATGTATAAATGGAGAACATTCAAGCTTTTACTGCAGTGTTATCCATTTCCTCAACCAACTCCTCTCTTACCACTGTCTTACGTTTTTTATTGCGGTTAGAAACTAAGAGTCTTTCTCCCGCTCCTCCACAAAGTGGTAGTCCGTCTTCAGCAGGACAGGACCAATGCTATGTGGATAGCTCTGTGGAGGCTGCTACAGCCATGGTTCCTGATTCTCCACCAGCAATTGTCTGACATTAATCACCTGCCCAGTCTACCTCACCTGTTCACACAGAACAAAAATCAAATTCTCCACCCAGATCTCCCTGCTCTACATCTCACAGCATGGAGGATCTGGCCTCACTGATGAATGTCATTCATCATGCAAAGAAACCTTCAACCAGGAAGGCCTATATGTATAAATGGAGAACATTGAAGCTTTTACTGCAGTGTTATCCCTTTCCTCAACCAACTCCTCTCTTACCACTGTCTTACGTTTTTTATTGCGGTTAGAAACTAAGAGTCTTTCTCTCTCACCCCTCAAAGTTTACCTTTCTGCAATTGTGCCTTATCAACCACCAACATCTCCGGCAGCTAAGTTTTTCAGACACCCTACTCTGAAATGTTTTCTCAAGGGGCTATCACACCTGAACCCAGGTGTTCGCCCTCCACCACCTCAGTGGTCATTGACATTGGTCCTTCAACAACTTACAGGGGCCCCGTTTGAGCCCCTGGCGTCAACTGACCTCAGGTTATTTACCTTCAAAATAATATTTCTTGTGACCATCACGTCAGCTCGACGTGCTAGTGAACTTGCGGCCTTAAAGTCTGACTACCCTTATCTCCAGTTTTACCCAGATAAGGTTAAACTTTTTGTAGATATTTCTTTTCTATCCAAGGTTGCCTCCCAGTTTCACCTATCCCAACCTTTGGTTCTTTCTTCCTTTTTTCTGTCTCCTTCTACTCCTCCAGAAAGGATCCTCCATATGGGCTCTAGCTTTTTACATAGCCTGCACTCAAATCATTCATTTGGTTCTTTCTTCCTTTTTTCTGTCTCTTTCTACACCTCCAGAAAGGATCCTCCATATGGGCTCTAGCTTTTTACATAGCCTGCACTCAAATCATTCAGATGCTTAGCTCAACTTTTTGTCAGCTACCAACTTCCTGCCAAGGGTCTTCAAGTTACCTCGTAGAGACTATCTAAGTGGATTGTATCTACAATCCAGCTTGCTTATCAGCTTGCTCAGGTTCCAGTGCCACATAGTATCTGCCCTCATTCTACCAGGGTGTTGGCAACATCTACGGCGTTTCTTTGGTGCATCCCCCTACTGGACATCTGCGCCTCTACCACATGGTCACAGCCGTCCATGTTTATCAATCACTATAGCTTGGATGTTTGGCAGAAATCTGATGCTGCTTTTGGGCGTGCTGTGTTATCATCTACCTTGGCGTGACACCCTCCTCCGGGTAAGGTAACTTGTTATTTAACCATAGTGTGATTTACAGAGGCCATGAAGAATGACAGGTTGCCTACCTGTAATTGTAGTTCTTCAAGTGGAGCTCTGTGATTCACACGTCCCGACTCAGCCTCCCCACTCTCACACCCTTTTTCATTATGTGGCAGTTGACCTAACTGAAGGGGGGGCCTTGGTGCTGGGGGGAAGGGTCAGTACTAATGTATCTTTTTGCTACCGCAGAAGCTCTAAAATATTCTGACGAGGCTCTGTGCATGCACGGATTACCCATAGTGTGAATTAAAGAGGTCCACTTGAAGAACTACAATTACAGATAGGTAACCTGTTGGTTTCTATTTTTCATAAAATCTTGAAAATGTCTAATTGACTTTGCTGTTGCAAGACTTGTCAGGTAGAACTCCTGTTACTTTAGAAGAATGTTTTGAGCACAGGATTTTCCATACAGTAGTTTAGAAAGAAAGAGTTATGTCTTAGTTCAAGTTCTTTCCATTTACAAAACAGACAGGTGAAACCCAAACTTGCACTAGAAATCAACCTATTTATCTCTTAGAAATCATGAAAATTGATTACAAAGCAGAATAGGGGAAGTATCATTGACCTTAATACTAAGCATGACAGTTCCAACTTCTCTCGAAGTAATAAAGTGTTCTGCTACACTTTTAAAACAGATTTTCTGAGTTAAACTCTAATTTTAAAAGTCTTAACTTTCCCAATGAATTGAGGGATTTGTGGTATTTCCTGACCTAGTTCTATTTGGCATTGTTTCCAAGGGGTTCATTCAAATGATTAGAATGATATTAAAATTGCAGTGACAGAACAAAATGCCAATCTTATGAGTTCCTGAAGCCCCCCATTAAGTTCTTTCCTGTTCCAAGTTCTGGAAGGCATTTCATAGGATTTTATCTCTGTGCAGCCACAAGCTCCCATGAGTTTTCACGAGCGCTACCTAGCAGTGACCTTTGTTCCACCAAAGGACATGAGTTTCTAAGCTTCTAAGTTACACAGGGAATTGAAAGGTGTTGACCGTGGCTGACGAAAAGATAGTTGTAGAACTCTTTATGGTGATTCTTGGAACTGAATGTTTTGTAGACTGTTGCTTGGAAATGCCCTTGAGCCTTAGGGTCCAGAAAGCAGAAAATATGACATATTTTCAAAGAACGAAAAAAATATATCCAGATGCCTATTTGGTTTTTACTTGTCTGTGGGTCTTTTTTCAGAGTGATACTGAATTCAGGCCTCAGTTTCTACATTTCTACTACTACAAGTAAATTAATAAGTCTGCTGGGAAATTTTGCAAACCTCTGTGTGCTAGACTGTTTTTAAAGGGATTAGTGCAGCCAAGGGCTATATAAAACAGTCTTATACCCAATCTCACCACTGGTCTGATCAAACCCATATATTGTCTGTTCTGCCTAGTGGCAGCTCTCTGATCTGACAAGAGTGAGCAGACTGCATGTTTGTGGGATTGACTTTGTTTTTCACTGCAACCCTGAGAGCACCAAATGGAGCCTGATGCAAAATATGTACCCTTGGATTTAAAGTCTTCTGAGTCCATGAACTTGTTCTGAATACTATTACTGAATGTTGCTCATAATTCTTCACACAAAATCCCACTATTGCTTACTCTAAACTTTCTTCATGTTCAGTGGTATAATCTGGTGAATAGGGGAGTCATGTTGTTGCTGCTGTTATTACGCAATCAAGAATAAGAAATCCTTGCCAATCCACTTCAGATCCCTCAGGGGTCTATGGGTAGGTCCTTATCTACTTTTGGGTCCTTCTGTGCCATTTCCCTAAAACAAGTGTTGTATGGTATGACAATATAAGACTGCTTTCACTATGGCCACATAGTGAAAGCAGTCTTACCCTGTCAAACCATTCAATCTTTAGTGGCACATAAGAAATCCAAATCTTGAAGAAGGAACCTCCTTCTTTGAGGCCTTGGCAAGTAATTTACAAGTAAATTAAAAGAAGGGACAGTGCTTTGTGGGATTAGCATTGGACAAGAACTCGTGACATCTGCATTACCAGATGTATTGGGTATCTGTGTGAGAATTAGGACAGTCACTCGATTCATTCTGTCTCCAAACAGGCGGAGGAACACTCAACCTATATGTGCAAATCTGCAAGAAGCAATCTTGACCTGCTACAATGAAAACAAAAATCAAGTGCTCAACTGCTCAGAGTTGGTCAAAGAGTATCAGCGTTGTGTTCGGCTAGCACAGAAGGTAACTATAGTTTTCATAAGAAATCAACCTGTGCTTTACTATAAGTGAATGCTCGCCCCACCTGTGCCTGTTGATGGCACAGGCTAGTCAGAAGGATCTGCCTCTATGTTTATGCCCATGCTCTTCCAAGCACAGATAATCAGAGGTTAGTTCACATAATGAACAACAAATTAAAAAAAAGATGTATAAATCGGTTATCACAGATAATGACTATTTTAATTGCTTACTAAAAGTCTAAAAGAAATGTATTCTCAAAAGAAATGTATTCTCAAACTCAGTTCTGACTCCTGTTCTCTGAAGATGCTGGCCACAGAGACTGGCGAAACGTTAGGAAGAACAATCTTCAGAACACGGCCAAAGAGCCCAAAAAAACCCACAACAACCATCTAAAAGAAATGTCTTGTCTGCTAACAGAAGAACATCCGTGAGGGGGCCAGCTTGGTCTCCTGTGGAACGGGGCCTCCCCAGCTTGAAAGAAGCCACCAAACAAATTTATTCCTCAAAGATGGGGAGGTTCATATGGACAAAAACAGTCCTTCAGATATCCTCAGCCCAACTCATTAAGGGCTTTATAGGCCTAAAACACACTTTGCCAGAAAACTTAAGTGGTAGCCAGTGATGCAGTTTTAACAAGGAATTTCTGTTCTCCTTCTAACCATCTCTAGTTAGGAGTCTAGGTGCAATATTTGCCAAAATTTGAGAACACTTTCCAAAGGCAGCCGCAACTAAAGCATGTGATACCATGGCGTAAAGTTTTTATCTATAAGTGAATTGAACTGGAGAATGTGTGTTGAAGGCACTTTCGACTATGTAGGCTGGAATAATCAAATGGATATATCATAAAAAATACAATAGTTTCAGACTGGTGAAGGATTAAAAATATTTTGTGAATTTCCTTGCATGCTGCAGAAAATGCCTTTATAGCATTAGCTGATTCTGTATGTGATGCCAGGAAGACAAACATATTTTCTTGGAAGCTACCATGGTTGGTGGGACTTCAGATGGAGGCCTAGGTGGGTTTTTTTGGGGGGAAGGGGGCAGGCTGTGGAGACTGTCCTTTCCTTTCCCCTTCCCTTTCCTGTTCATGTCATGAAGGGAAATCTGTATGCCTGATTTAAATATAACCTGAAACCAACTGCCAACCATCTCCCAGAAGAAACCCAACAGAAGGAGATGGGAAAATTGTCAGGATATATTAGCTCAAATGTTGTTGCAAATCCTGGTGGGTTTTTTCCCCTTTCTGTTTACAAAGAAGGTCTTTGTATGTTCTGCAGATCTCAAGGTTAAGGCTGCCAAGGAAAGGGCTTTTCTTTGAAGTCCCCAGCTCCCAAAACGTGTGCTTTCCTTTTTCTTTCTTGGCTTTAGAGGAAAGCAGACCCAGCAGTGCTGTCACACAATCCTTTCTTCCAAAGTAGTTCTCTACAGAACATGGCTCATCCCTTGTCAACCACTGCAAGCCTTCTTTCCCGCCTTCTGTGAATCAGGCTTGTAAACCACTGCCTTGTTTGTTTGTTTGTTTGTTTTCTTGTTTGCTTTTGAAATATAGCATTGCATTAAATTTCTGCATGTCTGCAAGCTCCAGCTCCAGCCATTTAACAAAGGGGTGGTGAGACTGCTAGCCAAAGCCCCAGTCTGACATTACTACAGAGGAAACTGGAAGCTGAGTGACTCTTAACAGCAGAGGGCACTGAAAGATCATATTAAGTTGAAGAGGGTTCCTTAAAAAAAAAAACCCACTCATAACCCAGGATACTTCATAAGAACTTTCATGCACTGTAAATCTGACTAGAGATTTTTGCACAGAACTAGTAGGAGTGTTATATTAAAAGCCATTTTATATTTGCTATAGAGGACAGTATAAAAATGGCAGGCAAGTCTTTTGTTCTTATAATTTGTATTTTTTCTTGCCCTGATGGCTACTAATGAACAGGTACGAGTAGCTGTGTGATTATACGCGTGCTCGGCAGGGATGCCAAATAAGCTTATGAGATTCGAAGTTCAACACAAAAGCTGTCATTTCATGGAGCCAAAAATACACTGTGAATCCCCCCTCCCCTCAAAAAAATATTCAGAATCTTGTGGCAGGTTTCCTGTACCATCCCACCATCTGTGAAGATGGGTTTGAGGGCAGTAAAATCTGTCAAGATGGCACAGGGAGAGAGAAGCACGAGAAGGAAAGACAAGTATCCTGTCTGAGTCCCCTACCACCACCCCCAACACACATTTGTAAACAGACATGGCATTAGCAAATGCTTGTTATGAGTGGGTAGATTTCAGTGCAGATAGTGGTTTTAATCTTTGTCATCGGAAAAATGAGTCTTCCATGGTTTTAATTCAATTGAAACAGCTTGAAATCCCCAGATTGTCATTGTATCATCTCTTGTTGTTGACAGTATTGTCTGAGTATCACACCAGTGACAAGAAAAATGCATACATTAATACAGACAGAAAGGGAATTCTGTATTGAACACTTTGGCGTAAGTTGTCCCACCCGATTGGAGTGGAAAGTCATCAGGATGATCCAGATGAATACTTGATGTCCTTCCTGATCTTCTGGCCGGAGGAAAAGGTGGTCTTAGCCTAAAGTGGCTAGCCCTTTGTCCTTGTGCTTGTATATGATTAGACTTCCATAAATTTCTCAACTGTTACGAGTGGGTTTCTTGTATTCTCTAAAGCCATTAACTGTAAGCCAAGGACAAGGATTAAATCAGCTGATCTGAAGAACAAGCAAAGGTTATAAAAGCAGCAGGTTATTCTGAGTCAGGGTGGGTAGTGTGTGTCTTGGACCTCGCCAGGGCCCCACATGTCCTTCTTTCAGTCCCCTGCATCACTAGAAAAAAAGGAGGAAAGGGGGGTGTGTGGAAGAAGCAAATTATGTCCCATGTGCCTTGCAGGTATAGAGTTTGCCATTTGAAAGTTAATGAGAAAGTAGGCCTTTTTCAGGCCCGAGAAAGACTTTTAGGAAACCAAAGTTGATTGTCAATTGTTCTCCTGTTTTTTTTTTCTTCAATAGATTTGCTCAGAGGTGGGGAATACCATGTGCCTTGCAGGTATAGAGTTTGCCATTTGAAAGTTAATGAGAAAGTAGGCCTTTTTCAGGCCTGAGAAAGACTTTTAGGAAACCAAAGTTGATTGTCAATTGTTCTCCTTTTTTTTTCTTCAATAGATTTTCTCAGAGGTGGGGAATGAAATTTAAATGTCAAAATGAATTTGGGTTCTTGAGGCTTCTGGGGGCACTGTTTGCTGTTTTCCAGTGAGAAACAATTTTGTCTGGGGACAGAGGAATTGGAGAAGGGGCAATTTTTTGAGATCTTGGTTGGGATGGAGATATATAGCTCACAGACTATTGCTTGCTCCAGTTGCACTCTTGGCTATAGCTCAGTGGTTTAAGTTTCTGGCTGCAGAACCAGAGGCTGGGAGTTTGATTCTGCACTGTATCTCCTTGATAGGAACTGGACTCTATGATCACTAGGGTCCCTTCCAGCTCTACAGTTCTCTGGTGGTGGTGGTGGTTGTAGTAGTAGAAGTAGTAGTACTAGTAGTAGTTATTCAAAAACACAAGCAAGGCACAGTCAATCAAAATTCTAAAAACATTGGCTGATATTGTATAGCAGATATACGTTTTAACCAAAAACCTAAGTATCTGTTAAATATTGACGCAATATGTATGCTGTTCCTAATATTGCCAATTTTTGTAGCTCTAAATGGTATTATATCTGAGATCTGCAACTGCTTATACAACTGTGTGAAATTACTTGATATTTTTCCCGAAGCCCCAATGACTACAGGGATCACTGAAATGTGCTGCAACCACAAGCAAGATGTTTAGATTGACCGGTCTCTGTATTTTGTTATTTTTTCCAATTCTTTATTTTCAGCTCTGGCATCCCCTGGAATTGCAATGTCAATATTCAGACATTTATTTGTTCTATCCACAATATTTTGATGTTGTCATTTTCTGACACCTCCTCTACTTGATGTTCGATGGGTTTGGAGGCTGGCAAATTGTATTTTTTTGCATAATGACCAGTGCACTAATTTAGCCACTATATAAAGTTTTATTTTGTAATCTGTTTGTATAATCTTTGGACATTCACAGATGAAGTGTGACAGAGTTTTATCTTTTTCTTGGCAGAGTTGACATTTGCTGTTAGCGCGAATTCCTTGGATGTTAGCTTTCATTGCGTTGGTTTGGAGTGCTTGTTCTTATGCAGAAAATAAATCAAACCTTCATTTGATGATGATGATTCAGATAAGATGTCTTATCTGAATCTGAAGTTATCCCCTCAAATATACATGGCCTTGTTGTTTTTTAGTCATTTAGTTGTGTTCAAGTCTTTGTGACCCCATGGACCAGAGCACGCCAGGCCCTCCTGTCTTCCACTGCCTCCCGGAGTTGGGTCAGATTCATGTTGGTTGCTTTGATGACACTGTCCAACCATCTCGTACTCTGTCGTCCCCTTCTCTTCTTGCCCTCACACTTCCCAACATCAGGGTCTTTTCCATGGAGTCTTCTCTTCTCATGAGATGGCCAAAGTATTGGAGCCTCAGCTTCAGGATCTGTCTTTTCAGTGAGGGCTCAGAGTTGATTTCCTTCAAAATGGATAGGTTCTTCTGCGTGGTCTTCTGTGAATGCACACAATAAGGGGGTTAAGTCAGCGCCTGCGCTGGTCTTCTCGGAATATTCCAGAGCTCTGCAAAGAGAAACATTGTCAACATTATCTATACTGCGCATGCTCCGCCCGCCCAATCCTCAGTTCCATTTCTCCGCCGTGTGGAATGGTTCTTCTCGGTAGAGCTCCTCTACTTTCACCCTTTTGTATTACTATTTCGGTCAGGATTACTCGGTTTTTTGGCTATTGCACGTTTTACGACTCCTCTTTCTGCCTATCGGACTTTGTTACCTCCAGCAGCCGCTCTGCTTACCGCTAGTGAGTCTCGCTTTTTCCCGCCTTTTCCAACGGCCGTTGCGAGCACTCGACTCTCCTATGCCCCCTCCA